CCTGAACAGAATCAACCCCCTCTGAGAAGGGCGCTCGTAGTGATGCGTGCTAACAAATGCTGGAGCTAAAGCCTCGAACACTCCCACGGACACAGGCACAGCTTTGGCTTTCCAGCTTGGCTCCAGCTCCAGCTGCCGCCACTTCACAGAATCACGGAATATTCTTTGGTGGAAGGGATCTCCAAGCCTCACCAAAGTCCAATTTCCGGCCATGCACAGGGCAGCACCTAGAGTCCCTGACAGCATTGTCCAAACGCTTCCTGAGCTCTGCATTTGAAACAAAAGGTTACACCCACCCAATGCCTAGATTTCCTCTTCTAGACAGCCCTTGGCTGTATACAGTTGGAAGGCAGAGATATTTAATAGAGTGCCAAACCAATTGCAACTTAAACCAATTAAAAAAAAAAAAACAAAAAAGAAAAACAAAAAAAACATCAGTGGCATTTTTGTATTATTAAAAGAAATTTAATATAATTTTTAAATTAAAAAATTCAATCTCTCTATTAAAGACACTGAGTCAGGTGCTAATACTGTCAAACACGCTTTTGGCATGAGTTTTACATAAAGTTTAAGATTTTATGCATTGCTTCAACATGTTAAGAAACCATCTTCATACTTACAATAGCAATAAAGTCAATTCCATACAATATCAAATATCCTTTTTTAAAAAAAAGTTTTAAATATATTAGACTCTGATTGCCAAAATGCCATTTTATACACAAAGCTGCTAATACAATATACAGTTCTTACATTATTTCTTTTTCTTCACATAAAATACATTTCATCAAGTTTTATTTGTACATCGTTTACTACTGATCAATGGAATTACAAGTTATTGCAGAAGGCTTGCCATCATCTCTTACTGTCCTGTACACACAGCAGTCCTGCCTCTGCCAGGGTTATCCACACTCCTGCAACCTCACATTGCAATCTCAAGGCTGAAGACAGTGGTGGCAATGCTAAGGCTGCATCTGCACTGTTTAAAAACCCGTATCTCCCCTCCAGCTGTGGGTGGAGATCATTGCATTGGTGTAGCTTTGGGAACAGGTATCTAGAGCAGAGTCTCCTCTACTACAGCTTCCATGGTTGAAATACAGCAAAATATTCTAGGTCATAATTGTGCCATGGCAGATGTTGCCTGGAGAGCCCAGTGGTACTCGAACTGTGTGAGGGAACTGAGAAGTCCATTAGCAGTTTGGCCAACATGAAAACAGAATAAAGGTGAAGAACAACCAGAGAGAACTGTTCTGTCACACAGCCACAGGCAAAAGAAAACAGAAAATGTAAATGTGTTCTGGTGTAAGAGGTGAGACCTTGCTGCTGGATTCTGCCTGTAGAGAACTGACACAGTAAAGCAGTCAACATGATTTGTTAAAATACAGTGAAACCCCTGTGCATTTCCTTTCTGCGGACTTAGGAAGAGAGAAGTGGTGATCATGAGGGAAATCGAAAGAGCAAATAATAATGTCAAAATCTGGCATGCTCTGAACTGTTATCCCCTTGCAAAAGTCTCCAAGTTAAAGATCAGCAAGAACTGTATAGTGACCACAAACCTTCCAGAGACGAGTTACCTTTAGCACGTATAAGGCACAGAAATAGCCCAGGTGTAGGGAGAAACCTTCCAGCATACAGACAACACTTCATCCATGGCTCACTGGAGACCAGTGCTATTGCTTTCTCAGGATATTCCCTTCTCCATGGTAACTGATTTCGTTTCAGCAGGGATGATGTGGGTAATCAGAGCTCCAAGACTGAAGAAAAAAGGATACTAGACAGAAGTTGTAATGCCATTTCAGAGCTTTTAAGGGATTTCAACCCCATGAAGGAAGACCCTGCTCAATAAACTCGAGAATTCACTGCCTCCACTGAGTATTGCACTGAGTCATTATTGCTATTGCCCTGCCATGCTCTTCTCCTTCCCTACCAGGAGTTCCTCATCCAGGTGGTTCTTCAACCACACCTCCAAGATGGCACAAAATCACACCAGCTAGAGTCAGTTCTTCCCAAAACTGGGAGGGTTTTAAGATTCAGGAGCACCAAAGAAGTGAAATTATGTAGGCTGAAATTGAATCATGTGGTGTGTGAAACACAGATCCAGGTCTGACTTGAAACAGATCCCAGCAATGGGACTTAGGCCCTTATCTAACATTTCAGCACTGGGGCTTCTTTGGCTGAGCTCACTAAAGTAGAGACATTGTTTTGAAAGACACTTTTTTCTCCATCTAACGAATTTCTTTCAACATGGAATGTAAAGCTGCTCTCATCAACCACTTAGTTTGCTAGAAACAGTACAAATTCAGCACACAGGAAAATATTGTGAGAAGGAAGGGTTATTTTCGTGCAGCTATGCCTGCAACAGAGCTGTCAGTACATTCACATTCTCAGATCTTTTCACAGTCTCTATGAACAGCTACAACCTTTGGCTCACTGGTAACTGAACTGATACTCTAATCTGGCCTTGAATCTGTAATTAGATATTTATTGATCTTAAAACCATTCAGTATATCATAAAACCCTCAAATGCTCCTCTAATAAATGAAGATATGCCAGTCTCAACATGATTTCTAGTTTCTACAGCTTTTAAACCATATTAAGATCCAATTAAACAGCCAAGTGCCCTCTGCTCTGTACCCCAGAGCTTTCCTCTGTGATTGCCTTTAAAACACACAGGTATCAAACCCCCACTATTGTTGTAACACTGCTAAATTTTACAGTGAAAAGTGTTATTCCTAGAGGTAGGGTGCTACAATGCCCGTGTAAGAGAATCTGTGTGTTTTTTATCCCCTCAAAAGCCCGTTTTTCTCCACAAAATAGTTCACCAGAAGCAGGTTAATTATCCACCTTAAAGAATTCGTCATCCCAGACCTACAACCCACAGCTCTGCCAGTGCTCCACAGGCAGTGACTGTTACATCCCAAATGTCACCACACAGGAGCATGAATCCATTCCAGGCCATTCTTCAACAGCCTCAGCCCAAAGCCAGTGGTAGGTAAATACTTGGCAGGGCTGTGAAACATATCCTACAAGATTTATCCATTACTGCCTCTTACCATTAATAACTTTCCTGTCTGATTAAGAATGGATTACATTTGATCAGACACCACTAGACTTCACAGCTAGGATGATGAGTTCCCAGAGTTTTACTTATGTGAAATACCAATGGAAGCCAAAAAGCTGCTTGTCTAAAATGGACTGGTTTCCTGCAGTTTTGATGTATTAACAGCTCTCAGTGAAAGCAAGCCTCAAACTACTTTACAGTACTGCATTCAGTGATCTCCTTTTCATTTCCTTGGAATTAGGCAGGGTTCAATACACTTGCTAGCACAAAGTTGCTCTGAGAAGGAAAAGGGCCCTACTCCTCCTTTGCTGGGAGGGAAGGCAACATCTGGGCCCGAATTTTGCACCATGTACAACCTAGTAGATAGCGGCACCAAAATTTGTTAGAGTGAGTTCAGAAAACTCATTAGGATGGATGTGAAGAGACAAACCTCACCATCATGGGAGAAGAGAGGCACCTGAAAGAACATCTCCCCTGTTCTGTAATAGCCAGGCCACACTTGGTGTTATCACAGAATAATTTACTCAAGGTAATCAGAAGATCCACTGTTAACCACATACAGATGCAGTAAAGTCTTTCCAGTTACCAAATCATCCTCTTACTACTGGAGAATGACTTTAAAAATCCCTTAAGATCAAGCACAAGAAATATTTTCTAGTCCTCTAATTCTCTAATTGTTTCAACAATGGAGGGGGCTCAACTCCTCTGAATGCTTCAAACTCTGCCTTTAGCAGAACTGGGGTTTTAAGTGAACCAGATCAACTGCTACCACTTTCTGGCTTGCACCTAAAACCGGTGAGGAAAGAGAATTCTATCTTCATACAATTCAAACCACTAAATTGTCAGCCTGATACCTCACAGGTCCAAAAGTGTTTCCTACAGAACGTGGCAGTGGTGGTGACACAGAGCCACCTCTGCTGCCCCGAGGAGCCCAGAGCCCTGTGTGGGAATGTATCCAGCCCCAGCCATGGGTGGATTTGATGGGGGCAGAGGGTAGCACTTAACAGTCACTGGCAGCCTCAGCCAACTTTTCATAGCCTAGAAAAGAGTTAAGGCTGTGAGGATCTCCACAGAGGAAGAGTACACGTGAAGGGCAATATTGATGTCTAACAGGCGCCAGGTAAAAGGAAGATGGGTGGAAGCTGCATTTGCTGTAGCTTGGCTGAAGCACAACTACGTGAGCTGGATTTAATCCATTGATGGCTTACAGAGACCCAAACAGGTTTATGTCTTCAGAGTTTGGAATTTAAGCTGCCCAAGAAGACACATATTCATGCAGGCAAACAATTACGTGTGTGACAGCCCCTCTGTGCAGAGGAGTTAAAGTTTACAGTTACTTCTTAGATACAACTGAAGCGTGGCCAGTTCCTCAGAGCTGCCCCACACTCTCCTTTCACCTTCCCCAGGTACACAAAGCCTGAACTTGCTGCAAAGCCAGTGCCAACCCCCAGGTTACCTTCAGGTTACAGAGTTTGCCAGGTGGGCTGTCAGAGCCCACATGAACTACACCAAGACACAGCATTGGTACTGCAGCTGCTCCACAGCAGAGAGGCTTTGTTAAGTCCTGATGGTGTCAGGCAACTCCCACAGACACACAGGCATTTAAATCTTCCTCTGCCAGCTGCTACCCACTGCTGACAGCTTCAGCAAGGGAGCTGGAAAACAGAACAAAGCATCTCCTGTCCTGCTGCAGTGTTCAACTACCACAGCAATGGTTCAAGTTATTTCTTAGCCAAAGACTGCAAGTTAATGCAAGTGTCATCACATCTATGGGATTAGAAATGCTTTCATGGTGCTTCTAGTTAGTGTTGGCAAGCCTTTCCTTCCCATCCCTCCTGAGCCCTGTGGTTCTGGAAATCCAGAAAAAATCAGAACACAAAGCATATTGTCCCTAGTATCTGTGTTGAGTGTACAGAGTAAACAAACAGAATCAATAGGAAAGTGAGATCAACAAAAGTCTTTTCAGTTTTAACAAATTAGGAGTCTAAATAGTACAAATAAGTTTTTTAAATTACTTATCCCAATATAGACCTTTGTCAGTATTTTATTGCAGTAAAATTCTATTGCCAGGGCCCCTTTATTGCAACATCAGTTTTAAAGCCTGTTGAGTGAAGTCTGTTCCAGGAAAAGTTCTGCTTCAAACCTGATGGCAGTCTGCAGCAACGAGGTGACACGAGCAGAACAGGACCCAGCCAGTGCACAGTTTGTGATGGTGAGCTGTCACTGCAAGGAGGTAACACCTTGCAAACTTCTTAAGTGCAGCATCTGTGCTTGCTTGTTGCTCCAGCCCAGGAAGCGCTGGATCCAGCCGTGTGGAAAATAACTCTGTCCACTCCTGCAAACCTCCTGTGGGGGCTGACCTCCCCTCCAGGATGTGTGCATCACCTAGGAGTGAAAACACAGGTCTGAACTGTCACCTTCCAGCTGCTCGGTGACTTACAGCAAGAGGATCAGACACAAAGATTTGAATTCAGATCCTTTCTTTGTTCCAAGGCATCTCACGACTTCCCAAGGATGGGGAGGCAGCACACCATACCTTCTTCCCCAGGGAGCAAGACTAAGGAGACTCTTTGGACATCATGTTGATGTGCATCCCTTCCTCTCCTAAGAGCCTTGCTCCACCTGCATTACTCATCCAGCTGCAATGGAAGTAATTGGCAGGGTAAAGTACAGTTCGAGATGAACAAGGCTGCCACAGTCAGGATGTCCATAACCAAATTCTCCCTTTGGAATGCAAACAACCTGGCCACTGTGATAGATCCAACCAGCCCACCCACGTCTTGTGTCCTCTGGGGTGAGACACAGACCAGACTAGGAAATCCTGCAGCACCCGTGCACCTTCTCTTCCATTTCCTCCATGGGAGCTTTGAATTTCAAGAGGGGTGGATCACCACTGGACACTGTGTAATACACTGAGGTCCCATTGGAGCTGTAGGGAGAAGTCCTGGATTCGATTAAGTGTGACTTGGCCTCGCCCACGTTCTCAGCAACCCCTGCCATGCCAGTGCTGAAGTGGGTGCTGAGGAAGGGGTGCTGCAGCAGTTTGGCTGCAGCTCGCTGCCGCTTCAGTTCCGACAGCGTTTGGTGGCTGTGCTCCTTGTAGGTGCCCCAGAACTGCGGGGCCTCGGGCAGCCCGGGGCTGCTGTAGGGCAGAACGTGCCCGGGGTTACTGTCAGGGTCAGCGTGCATGCTCCAAACGTCCCCGTTGGAAAAGCTGTACTGGTAAGGGCTGGCAGATGCCATCAGTCCGTTCTGCAGAGGGATCTCGGTGTCACACTGGGTGCTTTTGTTCGCTAGCTCCGGGAGGAGGGAGGAGTTCTCCAGCACTGAATTCTGTAACAACAAGACATGAAAGAGCATTTCCTCCCATTCCCCATAGCAGGGTTCATCCCTGTGACCACCTCCTAAGTCTGCTCACACCCAGCCTTTCTACCAGACAGATGCTGCAGCACAAACATTGAATTCCCCCACTAAAGATGCAAGTCCCAGCCAGGAACTGTTTCCCAAACAGGACATGAAACCTTAACTTGGAAGGCCTCATATAGGCATAAAAAATAATATGCTTATCTATATAACATGACAATAATTTAATTAAAAACAAGTAACTGCAAAGCAAGTTTGCAATTCTTTTGTGCTTACCAGTTTGTGAGCTTTAGAATGAAAGACACACATTAGTTTTTTTTGAGCATCCTGGTTCATTTTTATCTCAAAACTGTGTATGCAGCTGTAAATCCAGAACAGGCTTTCCACTTGAGTGGGACATCCCAGTTTATACCAAACGAGAATTTGTTCTTTGCTTACAACTGGTGGATAAGGTCTACAAATTTTCAGCCTCCTTCCACCTATAGCTACTGAATCCACACCACCAGCCCTCCTCAGTGACTCCCATGAAAGAGAAGAGATTCCTTACAGGGTCTGTATTCTCCTGTTCAGACCGAGTGTCCCCAATTTCTCCAATGAGACCCGAGTTTCTCCCTTCTTCTGCTGCCCCCAGCTGCTGCCACACCATGGCCTCCTTCTCGCACTCCTTCCTGTAAAGGTTTGTCCTGTCCGAAAGGCTGGCCCTCCTCACCACCTTCCTGTGGGACAGGGACAAGGGCATCAAAGCTGTGAGCAGGACATGACATTTCCTCTTAGCCTGGAGCTCTTCTCACCTCCTCCTCCTCACACTTCACAGCCTCTCCCTCTGGAATGGAACGTGGATTCAGCTTCCTGACACCCACGAGGGCACTGGCGTGGATACTGAAGGTGGGAGGAATTTTAAGAAGCTCATGCAGGTCACCTTATGGACCTATTCTGCAACCAGTGGAACAAATGTAGAAGGAAATGGCCCAGGGGCTGTTTAGAGAGCTTTGCGAGGTGCAGGGCTGCTTTAGTGTCCAGTAAACATCTTGTAAAGACCTCTGCAAATTGTGTCTCAGCACTGCATCTTGGCCATGTGACATACTACTGAAAAGCTCAAGTTACTCCACTTGAGCACTGATTTTCCAACACCAGTTTCAGTGGCTTAACAGGGTAAATTCTCATCATTTGGTCCTGTGCTCAGGGCAGTTCTTAAACCACACCAGCACAAAACTATTTCCCCCCCAAGGATTAGCACCTCTTCCTAATGTAAAAGCCACTCTTCAAAGGAGCTTTGCTTTCAGAAAGGACAGATGGGTTGTTCTCATCTACCTCAGGGTGCTCTGCAGGTGGCCATGCCAGTGCCCCAAGTGACCTGCAGAGAACAGCACAACTCACCCCCGGCTGCCCGTGCTGGAGGTCCTGCGGCTCAGGGAGGATTTGTGCCTCATCTGAGACTTCATGATCACATCGTGTTTGTGTTTCAGCTCCAGAAGCAGCACTTTGAATTCCTCCTCTTCACACAGATCTATGGCACACACAGACCAAACTCTTTGTCAGACAGTTCTCATTAACACCACGTTACTAATTGTGCCTTCCTAGTTAGACACCCAGGTCTTAGGGCTGCACACAGCAGCAGGGAAGCTCCCAAGCACAAGGGATAACATAGGAAACACAACAGCAGGAAGACTTGGTCCTTGGGAAATGCCTTCTTCCTTCTTTCTATGAGCACGAAGAAGCATTTTCTGTACTAAACTAGGTGCTTCAAAACTTCAGTCTCAGTTAAAGAAAGTTCAACTTTAATTCTAAAAAGACACCTAAAAAATTATGTTAATGCTTCTGAAAGCACCATGTGAAGACTCCAGCCATTTCTTTCTTTAAGCTTCATAAACTCACCTATTGGCATTTCATCCAAAGATGTCCTGGCACTCAAACTAGCCCCATGGGACACAAGCAATTCAGCCATCTGCATCTAAAGAATGGAAAGAATGCCAAGTTGATCGAGGTATTTTAGGCAATTTAGGCTTTCCTCCCTAAAGCTGAAAGCTTGGAGTAAGATGAGAGGCAATGGCACAAAGGCTCAACTCGCCTCAAATAACTATGGTATGTGTGTGATGTTAAACACTGTTCCCACCATCCACCTGCACAGGCATGCTCTGCCTGAAATTTCTCAGCCACCAGTTCTTTTTGGAGCCCGTGGAATCTCCTCTGATGCTGTCCAGAGAGCCCAGCCCCAATACAGGTTTATTCCATTTGCAGAGTACTCCAGTTTGTCCAGGCAGAAACCTCACCCTCACACACGACACTTTGAGTGAAATCCTTACCTGTCCCCAGAAAGCAGCAGCATGCAGAGGTTCCCAGCCATCCCAGTCCTTAACATCCAGGCTTGCCCCCTGGTCAAGAAGCACTTCAGCTGCATGCAGATAACCATTGGCTGCAGCTATATGCAGCTAGGAGACAAGGAACAGAGCATAAGCCACCTGCAAGGACCACCAATGGCTTTATACACCGAGTTTCAGAGGATTTTCCTGGATAACGTTTGAGCCCAGAGCTGGACAGGCAGCACATTTCACACTGGGCAGATGGCACCAGGACAAAAGCAGGTCCTTCCTGTTACTAAAGCTCAGTATTGCCTGCATGTAATTCTGTTTGGAGAGGAAACTGCTTAACAGTTCTTAGAATAATTTAGATATATGGATGAGAAAAATAATGTATTCACATTTTAAATCAAGGGCTTTTAAGTGCTTCCCAATCTGCAGGGAAAGCACCATCAAAACATGAGCCTGCAATGCAGAACATCATCCACTGTAAGTTCTGCATTCCTCATGCCAGAAGAACATCTCCTCTTCCCCACTAAAGTGCTGTGGATGTGATTTTTTGAATCAAATTTACAGCCTGCTTTAGTCAGGACTCTCTCCGTGCAATTGCACTTCCAATCACACTATAATTATTTTCACCATTTGAAAATCAAAAACATTTTAAACCCTGGCTACTTAAACCTAAAGGAGTATGATTTTTCAGATATTGGCTTCCAACTACAGCCAACACTTTGGAGACAATCAATAATAATCTCTTTTAGTCCCCCAGCTTCATGTCTCTGAAGATTTTCATAATTGCAGTCTGCTGTTGCATCTCTGAGCAAAACACTGACCCATGCACTGCTCTGTAGGGATTAACTCCACTCAGAGCTCCTCCTACTTCAGTTGTGCTAAAGGGGAGAATTAATGCTTCTTTTCCAAAAATCTTCATGAGGATGCCACCACACAGAGTTACAATTTCATCTGGAAATAAATTCTGATGCTTTCTGGCAACTCAGTTAATTTCTACATAAATTTTATGCCACTTTCTAGAGGCCACATGAATTAATAAGGAATTAGTTGGGGGTGGTACAAAAGGGGGAGCCAAAAGGTCTGCTTAAATGTACATAATCTTTGTTAAAGGGAAAAATGTGTTAAAAAATAAGCTGCAATAAAAACTTCAATCATCCAAGCTTACATAAGGGAGGGAGCCTGCCCTCCCCTTACACTTCTGGTATATATTAAAGATAGCATTTAGATTAAGAAATTGGAATGCACTGTCCTGGCCCTCAAACACATGAACCAAGTGCCTGTATATCAGTTATGCCTGGACCCAAGCATTAAATGACCGTGGTTTTATGAAATGCCCAGCACAGCACATATGACCTCATTACCGAACTTTCCCTAAGCTGGGACTGCTCTAAGACATGATTTAGGAGACATATTTGTGGGGTAAAAAGAGCTGGGATTGTTCAGCCTTCTCAGTCCCTGTCCAGACAGATCAGATGCCAGTTTGCTTTGTGCTGCACACTTGTCCTGGGTGCCCAGGGGCAGGTGCCACCCAGTGAGAACAAATACAGTGGCCACTGACTCTGTGTGAGCCAGATCCCACACAAAGCAGAAAGGAGGCAAGAAATCTCCAGGGTTCTCAGCACTGGATCCTGCTCCCACGAAAACCAGAGGGCTCTCACAATCTCCTCCACAGGAGTCTGGTGAATCCACGAGAAGTAAGAGGTTACTGGGAGGTCTCCCAGGCCCAGCTCCCTGCAGCTCAGCAGATGTTTTATGTTATGTCCTGTGGGACTTCTCTCAGTGACATGAACCTGTTGATTTTGTGTAACTCCTGCTCCAGGGCAGGTTTCATAACCTCTGGGCTGAAGGAAAGCAAAACTGAAGCCGCTGCAGTTTCACTCACCAGCGTAGCACCTTGGGCATCAGTCCTGTTCAGGTCTTGTCCAGTTGCAAGTATGTCATGAATGTCACAGATCATGACCTGCTCTGGAGCAGCTCGCATCTCATTGATCCTTTCCTGGGTAATCCCTGTGAAAATTCCAGTTAGAAAGAAGACAGTTGGAAAGGTTGAGTAAAACGAGACTTATGATCCTTGGTTGATATGACCTTCACCCTCATGATCTTCAGGAATCAGAATAACTAGAGCCAGGTCCCAAGAAATTATGCCAGAAGAAGCTCTCTGCTTTTCTCCAGAGGCAAATCAAGAGCTGAGAAACAGGGTAATTTTTAGTACCACATTGACCCATTTCTGTATTTTACATAAACTCAATCTCCTTACCTTGATAGGCCATGCAAGTCTCAATGACATCCAGGGTTGGCTCATCTTCACAGAGGTCATATGGCATGTTGCCATCTGCATTGACTGCCAACAGGTCTGCTCCACTGCAAGGGGAAAACTGAGTTACACCAGGAAGGACCTCAAACAGCCTAGAGCAGAGAGTACCAAACACTGGCATAAATGCTCAGGAAAAATTAACTGGGATTTGATAGTTGCCCAAATGCCACTAAGGTATATATGAGATAAAGATTTGAAGCAAAGCTGTGGAGCTATGAATGGAGAAGATTAATTCCAGAACTGGATGAAAGGCAACACACTACACCTCCTTCCTGAGTCAGTAATGCCCTGTATTCCACATCCGCTCCATTTTCATAACCCTCATCCAAAAACTTCCTAACCCAAGTGGGAACATCCTCCAAGGGATGCTTGACTGCATCCTCTTCTCTCCTTCATTATACAGTCAAAGAAGAGCCAAATTTTCAATGCTCATCTCCCAGATGACAGCACCACAGGGAGAAGTCTCCCTCCCTGAGGAAGAAGGCAGCAGGTCAACACTCCCAAAGCACCAGCACTCTGGGAAAGGGAGGAGAGGGCTCCGTACACAGGCACCACTCTGTGCTCCAGGCAGGATGCACCACAGTGCTCACAAAACAGCTCAAAACACACCTGGCTTCCTCCTCCTCGCTGGCAAGTCTAGAAAGACTTGAGCTGTAGGGACTTAGTCAAGCACCCTGTGTCACCTCTGGGGATCAAACACTGCAGGAAGTTTACTGATCACTAATTAAGACCCAGTGAGACAGGTCACAAAGTTCACCCGGGTGTCTGAGTTGCACAAACACACTGCTGCCCTCCTGCACCACTGTCTGCTCGACTGGGGCTGGAAGATCTGAAGTGGTGTTTAGGAGTCTGAGGGTAGATCCTGCTGGCTGCTCCTGTTTCTACTCCTTCCCCCAGTGACCACAGTTCCACACGTACACACAGACACACCAGAACACAGGCAAAAGGGGGCAAATTTTGGCCCAGTCTCCAGAAGTTTCATGAAACTGAGCCTAGTGATCTAGGGTTTTATTGTCTCCTCAGCTTTTCTGCTCTTCCTCCTTCACCCCCTTCTCCCCCAAGCAGGAAGGACCCCCACGAGCAGCCCGAAAACAGGGAATAATCACCTCTGCTGCAATCTCCCCAGGTACTAAGCAGTCTCAGTTTCCTGTGGGTAGAATCAGACCAACAGAAAGGACAGACACAAAAAGCCACCTACTGCTGGATGAGGATCTTCACCAGGTTGATGTGACCACACGTGGCTGCTGCATGCAGAGGAGTCCACAGCTCATTGTCCTTGGCATTGACATTGGCCCCATGGTTGAGGAGGAGCTTGACTATGTCCTCATAGTTGTCTATGCAGCACTGGGGAGGAAGAAACGCAGACAGATTGGTTTTTTTTTTTTTTTTTAAACTTCAGGAAAATGAGGGTTCATACCTGCTCAGCTGTAAAATAATAAAGGGCACCTGGACACGGAGACCTACTTTACCCTGCACTGCTTGGCAAGGAGCATCTCCAGCAGAGTTAAACACCAAATTGAGCACCAGCAGGTCAAAAAGGCAGAACACCCACATGGGACAGACCAAAGGGTCACTGGTGATCTCCAGGGCCTTCTAGTGTGGGGGCAGAACCAGCAGGGAATAACAGCAAACACGCTCACAGCTTCTATTCCACTGGGTCTTCCATATTCAAGAGCAAGCATAGCAGAAATTCAATATAACCAGTATAACCACATACCAAGGGATGAGCTGACAAGCTGACATTCCCTTTTCTTAGGGAAAATCCCACACACTGGCATGTGATGAGCAAAAGTCTTCTCAGGAGCTGACGCTACCCACCACAGTTATCTGGAGAGGCACAAATTGCATTCCCAGAATTATGAGGTACCTTGCAGAGCACTTTTCACTTCCTGAAAAAAACAGCTTCCTTCCTGCATTTAGAGTATAGCCCAGCACCTCTTTCCTTTGGTGAAGGTGGAATTTGCTCTTTGATCCACCTCTTGTTCACTTTTACAAATAAACGTGCATATGATAAAGACACTAAAACAAGATTTATTCTTGTGCAAGAGGCCTGTTTGTGGTCTGTGCATTGTTGCAGACTTACACAGCTCAGCACACAGTATGGGCTGTTAATGGGGCTGAGTTCCAACACACAATAAGCATTTCAGCAGCTGAGTGACAAGGAGCTTTCAGGTGTTTCTATTTTGTTCACTATTTGTACACGGAAGTGGGGTTAAAGTCATGCCTGTCACACAGCCAAGTTATCACAGAAGTGGAAGGAAGTCCCATTCACTGGAAGGAATGCTAATGTGCCCACTGAGGGGCTTCTCTGTGCTCAGGGATCCAATCAATTCCAGTGGATACAAAGCTCCCATCAAAACTCCCAAATGCACCTTTACAACCTCTCAGTGGGCAAGGTGGATTCTCCAGATTTTAGAGCCTGGCTGGGAAAGCAAGGAGCCTGTCAGTGTTTCTCTAAGTGCAGGATAACATCTCTTTGGAGAGGTGATGGTGGTGGGGGCCTTTTGTTCTTCCAGGAGCCAGTTTGCATTTTTAAACAAACATTCATCCAGCTTTGAAGAGAGCAGGCGACTGGCAAAAGAATCCAAAATCCCAAGTCAATGGGAGCATTCACAGCAGGGAGTTATGGCCAGAAACCCCTGAGTGCTCGTGTGACAACCATGCCACTGTTGTTCGAGGCAGTGGAGGCGGCAGCTGCCAGGCACTGCCAGCCCCACGTGCCTGAGAGAGAATAGAAAAACTCTTATGGAAACAGCACAGAGGCTCCAAGGAAGGCCACAGACCTACACACCACTATAGCAAGTCTGTATTTCACTGGTGATCAGCTACTGCCATCTCATACAGACTTTGGAAGTCCCTGAGCCTTCAACGAGCAGCAGCAGATTCTTCAAGCATCTTGTGCATCATTTATTTAAATCACTTCCAAAACTCACGGATTGCCAAGGTCTCTAAATTTGAGTTAATCTGCTGTAAGAAATTAGAGCCCAGTCCTACAAAAATTGAAGGGTGGGGAAAATGCTGTTCACATGTGAAGACCAGCCCTGACTCCTGAGCTCTTATTGTCACTGAATAAAGTCTGGGATACAGCAAGAAAAGGATCTGATCTGAGTTTGCTCCCCAAGAAACCAGATCGCCAACATGGTGAAGTTCCACTGCTTTCACTGAGAAAATAAAAGCAATCTAAGAGGGGTCCCTGTTGAAGGTGGACAGGTTGGCTCAGCGGGCAGCAGAAGGCACAGGGAGGTGTGAGCTCCTGCCAGCCTCACCTGATGCAGCGCAGTCAATCCATCCTCATTGCACAGGTCGGGGCTGATGTTGCTCTTCAGCAGGTAACACACTGCAAGGCAAGGACACAGCAGAGTCAGAGCGGCCACCCTGCCACACTCGTGCTCTCGGCCAGCCCTGCACAGTCCAGGGCAAGGAAATTCACACCATCAGTGTGGGCAGAGCTGCGGGAGCCGCAAGCCCAGCACGGTCACCGCAGTGAGAGCAGGGCCTTCCTGGGTTTATCCAGCAGAGAGCACCAGCACACAAAATTCTCCCCCAGCCTCCTTCCAAAGGAGACTGTTCATACAGTCAACATTTTCATTCACTTGTGCTGGAACAGTCTCCATTTTTGCCGTGTGCTTCACAATGCCTGAGTGCACCCTCTGTGCTCCTGTGGCCCAGGAGAGCCCCAAGGGGATTTTGGGGTCTCGAGTTACAGCCATGAGACAGATCCCTGCCACCACGAGAGGGATGAGGCATTGACTCAAGAAGTAATCAATCCACGATGAGAAACCAAATACATTCAGGGCCCTGCCATATCTAAACACACCAGGGTTGCTTTGCACAGTTCACTTGAGTTGCTGGGTGTTTGGAGAAAGCTTCTCAGAGGTTTTAGTTTTTAATCACAGCTTTGGGGGAAAGGGTAACATTTATTCCATTAAAATGCATATTCCTGAAACACGTGAAAAGTCATTAGCCCCTAGGTGAAAAACCTGCACAGGGCAATAGCAACAAGGTTGGCAGAGGGCATAAATTAATAGCAACACCAGAAACGCTTTAAATTCAACACTGCTGACAGACCTTGATGATCCATGCCCATTTTTCTGTTGTTTTCTTGCTCATTCCCTGTTTTTCTCCAGAGATTTCACTACCTAATGCTTTTCCTACCTCAAATGTCACTGACAGCACAAGCACAAGCCAGAGGTTCATAATCATCTCCCCAGGGCCAGAGCAGCAACAGATATTCACGTCACATCTTATTTGATGGCAGGCATGCAAGCACTGAGTGAAACCAGAGCTGCACAATAAGGAACATTGACAGAGCTAAAAGGGCAATAACCATCCTCAGAGCTGGCAATCAAAAACACCGCAGGGCTGCTCACTCCAAAGCATCCTGCAGCCTCTGATCCCTGTCCTGCTGTCAGAGGGAGCTCTTTCCCCAGCACATCCACAGGGAAAACCATCTGCAGGGCTGTCCCTGGGGACAGAGCTCTTCTGGCACGCAAAACAGAACATGGAAAACACACCCACCATGACATCAGTGATGATTGATGAGGCTTTGTTTAAAAGATCTGGAAAACACACTTGCAAGAAAGGCAAAACGAAAGCAGAGTGAAATTTTGATTGGAAGCCATTGCTCTGACGTTATCACAAAGGAAGGCAAAACCAGACAGAAGTGAAATAAAACACATCACAGAGTTGTTTCACCCAACTCAAAATAAATGCTTGGATTTACTTTCGCTGGAAATAATTTCAAGGCATTGACACCTGCTCTATGAAAACTGCTGCAAAAAAAGCAGAATACAGCAAAGACAAAGCTCATCCAGCACCACAGTGAATCCAAAGCCTCTGGCTTTTTTCCAGCTCGAGGGCCAGTGCAGGAAGCCCACGCCTACACTGGACTCACAGCCCCAACACTTGCATGCTTAACAGTAATAAGAGCACTGAACCTCAGCCAGTATATCCAATTTAATGACTCTGCTTCTACTGTTTCTGGCCAGCCCTGAGCTCTTGCTCTCCTAATCCAAGCTGAGTGATAGACGAGCCATTCACCACTGGGTCTGCTTGTCTCTTATTTACGTTGGATGCTCTGCCATTAGGGTTTTAATTCAATCTCAGTCAGTTAAGTGCCATTGTGTACTAATGACACACAGTTCCATAATCATGTTTTGCCTGATTATGGAGATTTGGACAAGTAGATGCTGGCAAATTAACCTTGTAAGTGCTGTCTCTCCATGGGAAGAAGCTGCAGCATAAATCCCAGCTTGTTACAGGGTTTTGTGTCAAAGGCACTGTGATCACAGCTTGACAGAGTTTGTAAGAGGCCCTGAAGGGTTAGATTCAGAGAAGTTTTTAATCTTACCCTAAAGAAGCTTTGAATTCTTCACTAACCCCTGGAGCAGCCCTCATGCTCTTAGTGCACCTCCCCTTGGCTCCCTTCTGCCCTCAGGACAAGCTCACCTTATTTCCCAGTATCTCCCAACATTGAAAATTGACAGCCACAAGACACCAGAAAAGGGCTCAGAAAAGTCAGATCATGAAGCTAAGTGTGGATGTGGTACCATGAGTCCAGGCAAACAAGGCACAAAGAAGAGATCAGACTGCTTTCTGTCCAGTCCTAAACTGAAGATTGCATTTCAGGGTTTGGCAGGGGAGCACAGGGTCAGGCAGCAAGGAGCCCTCATTCCTGCCACCAGCCCAAATTCACAGCAGAACACAGCCCCATCCATCCTGCCCTCTAACCCAAACTCACAGCAGAACACAGCCCCATCCATCCTGCCCACCAGCAGGGCACGGGGTGGCAAAGAGCAGCTTCGTCACCCCCTCTCCCTGTGAGCAGCAGAGGCACATGGAGGGAGGAGATGGACACCTTCTCCATGCCCACTACCCAGGAACAGCTCTTCCCAAAGAGGCAGGAAGAACAAGTCCTCCCTTCTGATAAACTTCAGGAGAAAAATGTGCATTTGTGGGTCATCCAGTGCCCTAGGAACAGGAAAGGGGGGCACATCTGTGATGCTTTGCAGTGCTGGAAGCTGGACCCTCCCCTGTGGCAGTGCCACCGACCTGCTCTGCTGCTTCACACACAACATAGTTACAGGCACCTGAGCATGCAAAATGCTTCTCTCTTCAAGCCCTGCCTGTGTCACACGCTTCTCTGCAGAGCCCAGCACCTTCTCCCCCCTCTCCAGGCATGGCTGATGGTGCACAGGTATGAAGCAAAGCCTTCAGCTCCCAAGGACACAGATTAATCACCCAGCACCAGCTGATCGCCTTCTGTCGGCTCAAACCTCAGCCTCCACCCATGGAAGGACAATGCCCCCCATGCTCATGGAACAGAGCAGGAATGAGCCCTCTGCAAGCCCCTGAGCCCAACAGAAGGGGCTCTTTGGGGTCACATCATCAGCACCAGGCTGGACACTAACACCACGATTAAGTTCTTAGAGAGCTCAGTGCCGAAAATGCTGAGCTCTGTCAGATCTGTGCTCTGCACGTAGGCAGAGGCAGGTGGGGAGCAGGGGCTGGGTGCGTGGAGATTCTTCATTACGTGTCGAGCACAAGTTGTGGGAAGCAGTTCCAAACGCATAGCAAATGAAGGAATGAAAATGATCACAATAAGAGCTGGGTGAACAAATTGTTGTGAATAATTCATTGCAAATTATATTAACTGAGCGATCACTCAAATGTATTTTTCATTATTCTCCTTGCTCTGCCTATAATTGAACCTCTCACACACCAAGATGGTGTACATTAATCTTCAATTTATATTTTATCATTCACATCTGTGCTATTTTAAATAGAAAAAGCTCCCACAACAGCTGTGAAAATACAGTCTCAGTTTTAAGCCGCCCTCCATCAGATATCCCAGGGCAGCCTTAGAAAAATTCTCCTGCCCAAACATAGCAAACCACTTCTTAGGAGCTCCTTTTCCTCCCAGCCTCACTTATTCTCCCCAAAAACTATAAAGCAGGGGAAAGGCAAAAGCAACACTGCAGAGGTGCTAAGGAAAATTCAACACGGGGCAATCGACTCTCCCACCTGAAGAGATGTTACAGTGCTATCGTTTTTTATTGCTGTTATTTCCCACTGAGTTTACACTAGAAACAGCTTTTCCAGAAAAGTTCCTAAACCAGATGAAGAAAAAAAAAAAAAGCCTTTGTTAGTGCAGTTTCCCCTAAGTCAATAAGCTACACCATAAAATCCTGGATACTGTTACACTCCCATCTATACCAAGCACTTGCATACCTCAAGCATTAATAACTCTTAAGAGAAAAAGCCAACTGGAACTGATATGGATACCATGGAGGGATAAAAAAAACCAAAAACCTAACAGACACCTTCCTGATAGGAGGTCCTGAGTCCTCCCAAAAATATATAATGGCAAATTGCCTCTACTGGCAAGCAGGCTTACCTGTGTGCTCCAAGTTTACCTACACGCACAGGCCATTACTTATTAAAAATCCAGAATTTTCTCAATCTTTTCTACTCAATTTCTCTTTGAAATCATCCAAATTCTTCAAGTTCACCTTTTGGTGAACCAAGCACTTCCAGGCCACCTTTAAAAGGTGGGGTCTCTATGACAGTACAATAATTTCTGTATGTTCACAGATGATTTCACTGCATAAAATGAAGTTGCACTTGGGTTAATAAAAAATTTTTACACATTGCTCCAAGCCCCTTCCACCCAAATGCAGCTTTAGTCAGAGACCCAGTGTAGCAGAAGCAGCTCCTTCCATTATTTGTAGTGACATACACGCAGGGGTGTTGGCAAATGTCTGCAGACACTGATCCCAGCCTGCCAGGCATGGGACTATGGATGGGCTCAGCTACTTCAAAGCTGCATGTTTACTGCTGTGGTTTTGCAGGGATATTTATTACACAGGAGAAACAATGCCAGGAAAACTGCACTGAAGCTGTGAGAGCTCTGCCAGCTTCCTAGCCCCGGCATACAATGTTAAATTCACATTGAACAGCATATCTAAACTCTGAGCAATAACAGGATGAACTCACTCAGCCTTATCCTCCACTCCCTGCAATGTACAACTGATAGCCCATGCTGGTCCATTGATAAACTCCACAGCTCCCTAAAGCTTTTTGAAGGACAGAAAAACCCCACAGAAAGTGAAATGCCACGCTCAGACAGCTTCAAACACATCATACACCTAAAAATAAATATGGCCCAGTTTGCCTGCTGAGCCAGCAACAGAGACATCCCATCCTGATTGAGCACTGAGCTTTCTCAGGAAGGTTCAAAGCCTGTTAAACACTTCCCACCCAGTTTATAGCCAGGCACACTCATTGCTTCTAATATACCCACAAAACCTGGGAAGTCTGGAGAGAGGCCAGCAGAGC